ACGCGGTTTTGCGCAAAAAAGCCCCGATCGCCTTTTTCACGATTGGGGCTTTTTTGCGGAAAACAGTACTATGTTGTCTACACTGGCCCTTTTGCGCAAAAGTCTTTCGGAAAAAGACTTTTGCCCGAACGGGAGCAGCATAGTATTTCCGGAAAAGCACTGATGATTTTACATGAGATCGTCAGTGCTTTTCCCAAAATTCAAGTGGCCAGTGTAGACAGCTGGCAAGTTTTTCCGGAAAAGCTGCTGATTTTCCAGAAAAACTTGCCAGTCTAGACACAGCCTAAGTGTAAGAGAACGGGCATTTCAGGAAACAATGAGACAATATTGACCAGCTGTGAGTTCTGCACACCCATGGTTAACTCTTTGGCATAGAGTTTTGAGGAAGACAATGCGGTAGCAGAGTAAGTGTGCAGGCCATGCCCAGCCAGCAAGCACAGTTACATTTCGCTCCACCACAGCCGAGCGGAAAAGCAAACTAGTGAAATTTCCCGTGTGTGAGGCTGCAGCTAAGCTCTCCGGGGTCACCAGATTTGTAAACACTCCCATGTCCTTGTAAAACAAGCTTAATTCCTCCGAATCCCACAGATTAAAAATGTATTTGTACAGTTGATAACCTCTTGGGTTTGGGATATTTAAAAGGCCAGCTGGTTTCAGCTACATTCGGTGGGCTGTTTGTTTCTTTTTAAAGGGAGGGAGAGTTGAAAACCCTAATCCGAACAGAAAGTTTTTGATGGTTTCTTCATTTTCATGAAAACAGCCCTCCCTTGCTATAAATCTGACATTCCCCCCTCATATTCTAATGCCTGAAAGCCAAAAAGTGAAACTAACTAGAAATTAATAGTCTTCATTAGTTGTGTAACAGTAGTGACTAGAGCTCCAGTAGGCGTAATGTCCCTATTATGCTGGGTGCTGTGGGTCACATTTTCAAAAGGGATTGGAATGATTTAGAGGGCTAAATTCTATCTAACATGAGTGGAATGTGTGCTCCTTAGTCACATAGGATCCTTAAAAAAGGTTACCCTTTATCTATACAAGATAGTCCCTAGGAATTACTGAGCAAAGGAAAGGAAAGATAGCCCAGTAGTTAGTGCCAGGCTTAGAATCAAATCCCTGCTCTGCCACAGACTTCCTGTGTGACCTTGGGTCAGTCCCTTAGCTTCTCTATGTCTGTTTCTCATCTGTACACTGGGAATAACAGCCCTGCCTCCCAGGAGAGTGAATAAGGATACAGATATTAATGATGTTACGTGCTCAGACACTACAGTGATAAGAGCTATGTAAGTATCGAGGCTAGTGTAGGCTGGGGGCAGGCAGAGTATTTGTGATTTCTGGACTTGGCATGCAAGAGAGACTGACCTGATTTTGTTTGCATCACTTTAACAGGGGTGGATTTTAACGTGGGACCTCTGGAGCTTTGTGGAAGAGCCTTTACAGCGTGAGCTAAAAGCCAGCTGGCACTCAGCTTAGGCTGTAGAACGCCCTTGTTCTTACCTCTCACTATAAGGGTGCGTCTACACTGCAGGGCTTAACTTGACATAAGCTATGCAAATTGAGCTACGTCAATTGCATAGCTTATTTCGAAATAGTTTATTTCGACATTGGGAGCGTATACTCAGCACTTATTTCGAAATAGAGCCCTCGTCCTCCAACTTCCCTTATTCCTTGTACAAGGAGGGTTACAGGAGTCGGAGTAAGACGTCCTCCAGCTTGACAGTATCTTAACACTATTTCGAAATAACGGTCTGCTGTGTAGACGTGGACTAAGTTATTTTGGAATAGTGCTAGTTATTTTGAAATAGTGCTGCAGTTTAGCCATACCCTAGGTGGTCTAAGTGCCACTACATAGGACAGTGAACCACACTAGGTGTGTGAGTTACACTTGCAGGACTCTGTTCTGCCTGCACTACATGCTGTCCTTGTGAAGAGAGACTGCAGATAATTATTTATATTGTGCTTGTGCCTGGGGGCCCAGGCAAGGCCCTGTTGTGCTGGGTGCTGTACACGCACAATGAAAAGACTGATTGGAAGCTCTTTGGGGCAGAGCATGCCCTTTGGGTCTATGTCTGTACAGCTCCTGGCACAATGGGGGTCCTGGCCCATTGACTAGCCCCCAGCGCATGTGCAGAGCACAGTCATAATGAGACTGGAGATAACAGCTGACAGCAGAACGATGGGGGAGGGCAGGGAACAGAGACAATTCTGCTCAGTGTACTAACCAAGCCCAGCACACCAGCTGCATGTAGGAATTGGGCAAGGGGGAGATTTGAAGGAGGATGTTGTAGCGCAGGGGCAGGGATGAGGCCCCCAGCTTTCCTGGATCCATCCCCCGAAGCTCAGGGCTGCTCCTGCATTGAGGAGCTTGTGCTAGTGCTCCAGCCCTCCTCCTCCCCATTGTGTGGCTGGAGCACACAAATCTAATAGGCTGGGCCCCCTTAGATTTTGGTGTGGGAGGGGAATGTGGGGACTGTCTTTCTCCTTCTCGGTCCAGGGCCACATTAGTGAATGTTTGTTTTTCTTCTCACTTGTGTGTGGCCCCCGACTGATTTTTCTGTGGGTCAGTGGCCCCTGATCCAAAAAAACTTGCTCCCCCCTTTTGTAGGGACTTCCTCTTGGATACCAAAGTCAAATGGAAAGGAAAGACTGACCCATGCAGGCTGCTGGAAGGGTAGATGATCCAGCCGCTGTCTCCCTCTGAGCTCATGCTGTCTTTCACCAGCACACCTTTGTTTAGGGATGTTTACTAATGCGGCACCTTGATCTGTTTACTAATGCGGGCCCCCTGGCTCTGGTGATATAACTAGTTTATTGTGATGGTTGGCACAGCTGCTGGCCTGTGCCATGTGTGCTCTGGACTGGAATGGAAGGAACAAAAGTGAGTATTTCTTTATTCGGTGCATAGTCAACCTGTGGAACTCCTTGCTAGAGGATGTTGTGAAGACTAGGACTTTAACAGGGTTCAAAAAAGAACTAGATAAATTCGTGGAGGTTAGGTCTATCAATACTTATTACCCAGGATGTGTAGAAATGATGTCTCTAGCCTCTGTTTGTCAGAGGCTGGAAATGGGTGACCAGGGAGGGATAACTTGGTGATTCCCTGTTCCTCATTCCCCCTGAGGCACTGGGCATTGACCACTGTCAGAAGACAGGATACTGGGCTAGATGGATCTTTGGTTTGACTCAGTCTGGCCATTCTTATGTTCTTAGGGCTCCTGGGCTCTGCTTCTGACTCTCCTGCAGATATCCTCTGTGACCCTGACCACTCGGGGACAGAGTTTCAAAAGTGGCCATTAGGTTGGGATGTCTCTGGTTGGCCAGGGTCTGATTTATGCACAGCTAAGCAGCTGTGGAGTAGCTCAGCACTCGGAGGGCAGACCTATGAGGAATGCCCACGTTGGTGCTTGTGTGGCGTTAGGGGGTGCTGTGCTTTGGCAGTTCTGTCCGATGAGCCAGAGCACTGATGTCTGGCTACTTGTCATCATTAACGGCCACGTGGCGCTTTTTATAAGAGATTCAGATCCAGCACCTTGGATCGATTCTACTCGGGTGTTATATACATGTGCTGAGTTCCTCCTCTGAGGTAGCTGCATTTCAGGGGTAGGGAACACTGGATCAGTTCTACTCGGGTGTTATATATATGTGCTGAGTTCCTCCCCCGAGGTAGCTGCATTTCAGGGGTAGGGAACATTCTTTCCCAGGTGTCTGGCTGGTGGGTCTTGCCCATGTGGTCAGGGTCCATACTTGGGGTTGGGAAGGAATTTTCCCCCAGGTGACCAGGTCAGATTGGCAGACACCCTCTGTCGCCTGGAGTCACTGGCAGGGTTAAACTAGCGTCAATGGTGGATTCCCTGTAACTCAAAGTCCTTAAACCGTGGTTTGAGCACGCCAGTGACTTAGCCAGAGGCTAGCGGTCTGTCACAGGAGCAGGCAGGCGAGGTCCTGTGGCCTGCGGTGTGCAGGAGGTCAGACTAGGAGACAATGATGATCCCTTCTGGCCTTAAAGACTATGAGCCTATGAGGCTGCAGGGTGTCCTACAGCTGCTCATGGGAATAGCTGGAGTTTTAACAGCCTTGGATTGAATGGGAAACCTGTTGGCCCATGCAGCGACTGTCACGGATGTCCCCTGGGGGTCTGACCTCTTCTGGCTAAATCATAGATAATTGTGCCCTCTAGTGGCTGACGGGTAGAGCTGCTTCATTAGCCGAGAGCGGGACCCAGATGGGGGCTGACCTGGCATCTCCAGCGGAATGCTCACTGGGACGCTTCCCAGGGTCACTGCCACCGTCCCTTAGCATGAGGAAGTGTGTCTGTGCCTGCCGGGGGGCAGCTTCCCAGCCTCACCACCAGCTGCAGGCCTCCCAAGCCGTCCCCTGTAGGCCTGCAAGCAGCCCTCTGGCAGCGTACAGAGATCGCTGCTGCCAAAGAAGCAAGATGCCCCAGCTTAGCCGTTCCCCCTCAGATGGCAGCTGTGCTAGCCCCCAGCTGAGAGAGACGTTTCTAGTGAAAACAAGGAAAGCTTCTTTACCAGCGTAGAGACTCAAGTAACAGCCAGTGGGAGTAGTGGAAGCACATGGTTACGTAGAAAATGAAATTGTTGCTCTCCCGCTAGAGCAGGTGTGGGCAATGGTTTTGGATGGGGCGGGGATATGCCATGAATATGGTAAGTGGTCAATGGCTGCATTTTTCTATGGACAGGGTGCGGGATCTGGGGTGGAGGTTGGGTACAGAAGGGAGCTCGGGCTAAGGGACTGGGGTGCAGGAGAGGGTGTGGAGGTCTGCGAGGGAGTTTGGGTGAAGGAGGGGCTAGTGACCTGGGGCAGAGGATTGGGGTGCAAAAGGCAGTGCAGAGTCTGGGAGGTGGTATGGAGGCAGAATTGGGGGTGCAGAGGGTTGAGATTACATTGGGTAGGGGTGCAGGAATGGGAGCAGAGGGTTGGCGGGGGGGAGGGAGGGAAGAGAGAGGCTGGGGTGCCAGAGGGAAGCTCTGGCTGGGAGGTACTTACCTAGGCATCCCCCAGACAGCAGCCCAGCAGGTCCCTCAGGCAGGTTCCACAGGCCTCTCAGAGCAACCTACTGCTGGGGCCATGTGCTGCTTGGAGCACAGTGAGCCTGGGGGAGAAGGGGTACTTCCCATGCGGCCTGCCCTGCAAACAGGAAGCTCCTATTGGCCAGAAACCAAGCCAATGGGAGCTGTGAGGTTGTGCTGGGGGTGGGGCAGCAAGCAAAACCTCTCCCTCAGCTCACATTGGTGCTCAGAGATGCACAGGCCCCTGCAGCCGAAGCTCCCATTGGGCTGTGGGCCTCTTGGTGGGCTGGATCCAACGCATGGGCTGTATGTTGCCTGGCCCTGTTCTAGAGCCTCGACTTGACTGAACTAGATCCTGCCGTGTGGAACAGAGCAAAGCCCACCTGTAGTCCCTCCAGCAATTCACAGCTGCTTCTCATCAATGGCTATTAGCCACGGCGAGTAGGAATGATGTCCCTAGCCTCTGTCAGAATCTGGGAATGGGTGACAGAGGATGGATCCTTTGAGGATTCCCTGTTCTGTTCATTCCCTCTGGGGCACCCGGCATTGGCCACTGTCGGCAGACAGGAACCTGGGCTAGATGGACCTTTTGGTCTGGCCCAGTGTGGTTGTTCTTACGTGATCTTCCATTCATGAGACAAACCCATGCTGTCTCCTCAATCTTTCTGCATGGATGTCTGCACTCCCAGAGCTCCTCCAGCCACCCAATGTCTTTGCTCATGACAGGATCTCCTCCTGCCGTCTGTCCTGTAAATTCCCTCTCTCCAAGATTTCGCAGTGTTTCCCCTTGTGTTTGGGACAGTTTTCTCACAGGTGTACATTATCAGACAGACAATGCACAATACGCTCGTGACCAGGCAGCAAGAAGCGTCTCTTACTTCCTGGTTTCCTGCCTGGAGAACAGAGTTTTTTCACGGGAGACACATAACTTCTTAAATACGTACATTTCACAGTGATTGCCTTGACCCGTGGCCTTCTGGGCCTTGGTGGAGACCTTGCGAGCCACCCTCTGGTGAATTGTCCTGCATCTCTCTGACCCAGGGGAACCCTGTACCCCTGAGCCTTTGCTAGCTGGCACCAGCAGGTGTCTGGGTCACTCTCAGGCAGAGCTGTGGGCTCGCTCATCACCCCACGGGGCCGTATCCACTGTGAGTCCATGCAAGTCAGTGGTTTAGCAGCAGGGCAGCAGAGAGCAGCCCACTGGTGTGTGTGTGTGTGGTGGGGATGACTCTCTGCTCTGTGGAGGCCTGGAAAACACTCAGGAGATGCCAGAGCTCTCTAAGGAGCCATCTCACCCTTGCTTGCCCCCCTCTTTCCTCCAAAGGGCCAGCTGCTGCACCCTTTAATAGCCAGGACGTGGCTAGCTTGTCTCATGCTTTGGGCTCCCATGCTGCAAGGTGCGGAGCGTTTCCTGCGAGCTATCAAGCATCTGCCCTCTGCTGGAGATGGGAGCGCACCACACCCGGCAGGAGGCCTCTGCACCTGTCAGGATTGGACCATTCAGCACCGGGGCCAAATTCCCCCTGGGTGTAACTCTCTGCTCGCCCTTTGTGCCCCCAAATTCAACCCTGCTTAGCCCTGGGACACGGAGACACCCCAGAAGTGCAGGTCCCAATCCCAGCGGAGCCCCCCCATTGCAGCATTGTGCATGTCTGTGGGGTAGGCCGGGGGCTACCTCGGGTTACAATCTATGCCTGACCCCCGTTTCTGTTTCAGATCCCTCCCAACCTGCCCTGTTCCGTCACGCTGCAGCCTGGACCGGAGGACACGGGCAAGGTAACTTCGTTGGGGTCCTTTGCATCCGTCAATGGCTCAGCCGCACTCCTCCAATCCGGTGGGTTAGCTCCAGATGGGCTGGCTGGCTCAGGCGTTCTGAGTGCCCCCACAATGGGTGTAGCTTCTCGGCACAAAGGCTCTGTCTCATGTCATGCTGAGGTGTGCAAGGGGCAGGAAGCGAAATCCATGCAGTGTGAAGGGGCCGTGAGCCAACGGCAAGGTGGGGGCCCCTTACTGATTATGTCTCAGCCCGTTCCAGCTCACATTCAAAGCGAAAGGTTTCTGCGAAGGGCCGCTTGGTCGTGAGAGGAAGTGTCCCGACCCTACTGCGCTGGCGGAACAACGCTGAAGTAGCTACGCAGGACAGTGATACATAGCACTGCCCGCTGCCCCGGGATCTGAGAGTCAAGCTCAGTTCTTGCCTCCGTGTGCTTCATGATCCAATAAGGTCCGCAGGCCACATGATGGCCTTCCCACGCCTTTGCTCTCAGTGGACTTGCAGACTGGCCCTGTAAATGGGGCACTGCAAACAAATTCCTTCAATGCCCCCAAATGAAATAGACTCCAGCTTCCTCTCCTGGAGTCCTGCTTGGCCTGCAAGCCCAGAGGGAACACACAATGGGCAGATCTGCTGAGCAAGGAGGGGCAATTTCTACAAGAACAGCCCTTTCAAACCTGAGGTTGTCCAGTCTCTGCATGAACATTAATGACCCCATAGTAAAAAACGCCATTAAACTTATCATGACAGAGTTTGCCACCTTGTCTCTCCCCCCATTGTCACTCTCTACCACCCAGATTTTCAGATGCGTTTACCTGCCACCTTCCGTGGCAGGTGGAAAGGAAAGGCAGGAATTCCTCTCCTAGGGGAAAAGTCAATTCCCCCCTCCCCCCAGTCATCATTCAAAACCAGTTACAGGGATTCTTCTCCAACTCCCCTACCTTTCTCACTCCTGAGAAATGACTTCTTGCACTGAGACTAGTTCCTGAAAATGTCATGCCAAGAGATGTGGAAGGGTAGGAGCAGAGAATTGATTGCTTGGTCTTAGCAACTGGTACAAGACCACAGCTCAAATGTAAACATTGTAATATCTAGGAGGATTTGTATTGGGGCTAGCCACTAGAACTCAGATCCTTTTGTTTAAAGGCCCAGACCCTTAACACACGAGCTACAGGAGAATCCCCACTGTCAGTATGGGGCCTATGACACAGTTGTGTGTTTCTGAGTCCCTCAGTTAGAAGACAGTGGTGCATACAATCTGTCCAGGAGCACAGAGTTACATACCCACACTCTCCAGCGAATGCCTTACTGCATACAGCATGGCAAGACGTGATTTCCCACCTTTGTTCTGCTTTGAAGGCCTGCGGCGTTGACTATGAGGTCAAAGCTTTCTGTGCAGAGAACCTGGAGGAGAAAATCCACAAGAGGTAAACGGAGCCGATGTTTTTATTGCCGCTGCCTGGGGTATAAGGCCACTGCCCTTCTGCTAGGAACATTTGCCCTCTCCCTCGTACAGCTGTGGGGGTCTAACTCCTTTTCATCTTGCCGCCCAGCCCACCCCGACATAGCAGTGCCCTTTAATGGCAGCTTCTGCAGGAGCTCCCCAGCCCCCAGGGAGCATGCAGGATCTCTGGGCATGTCCTGCTCCGGGGTAGCATCTAGCCTCTCCTGGGTCTCCTGCAGGGACATGCTGCACATTGGGGGAGGGGAGGGAAAGAACAGGGCTTGCAAGAACCCCTCCCAGCCCTCATTATATCACCCAGAGGATCGCTAGCCTGGAGCTTTGCCCACTTTCAGTCTGGGAGGGCAGAGCTGGGGGCCAGGTGGGGGTGGTTGGTGGGGCCTTGTGGAAGTGCTAGTCCACAGTGCCTGTTTGGGGTTTGGGGAGGTATAGGTGTTCCTCTCTGGTAAAGCTTCCCAGCACCCTGTGCATCAGATTCCTTTGGTTCAGGTAGTAGAATCCTGGGCCTCCCTTTCCAGAGGGTCAAGGCCAGGACTAGGCAATAATTTTTGGTCGGGAGCCACTCGCAGCTTTTGGTGGTAGGTGGTCGTGGGTCTGGGACAGAGGTTGGGTGCGGAAGGGAGCTCAGGGTAGGAGACTGGGGTGCAGGAGGAGGTGTGGGGTCTGAGAGGGAGTTTGGGTGCAGGAGGGGGTTGTGACCTGGGACGAGGGATTGGGGTGCAGGGTTGGGGAGGGAGCATGGCTGCACGAGAGGATTCTGGCCCGAGGGAGGGGTGTAGGAGGGAGTGCAGGGTTTATGAGGGAGTTGTGACCTGGGGCAGGGGGGTGCAGAGGGTTTGGGTGGTGACCAGGAGGCATTTACCTAAGCGGCTCCCAGCCGGCAGCCCTGCAGGACCCCAAGGCTCTCTACCTGCTGCAGTCCAGGCTGCTCAAACCAGCTGGCTGCTCCATGTGGCTGTCTGGTCCAGGCACCGGGGGAGGGGCAATGGGAGCTGAGAGATTTTGCTGGAGGGGGAGGGCAGCGCACGAACCTTCCTTTCCCCATAGTGTGGGGCTGCTCTGTGCCTGAGGGTACTGGCAGGGTGCCCCACGGGCTGGATCCAGCAGTCCCCTGGTCAAGAATCCAGGCCCTACTCCCTACTTGTGGCATGGTGTGTCTGTTATGCTGCCAGACAAAGAAGTTTTGACCTCCCTGCTATACAGATGGGGAATCTGAGGCATGAAGAGGTTAAATGACCAGACCAAGGAAGACCGAGGCCCGTGGAAGGGTGGGGATATAGGTTAGCACTTGTGCCCCATGGGACAGCAGTACTGGTTGCCGTGCTAACCCCCTTGTAGTGAATTCAGTAGCAGCCCTTTAAATATTTTGAGTACTTTGAGTGGGCCACACCAGTGCAGAAGCCCCCAGAGCCTAAAGGAGGGGCGGGAGAGGATATAGGACTTGCTAGCTGTGTGTGTTTGTATGTCGTTGGTTCGGAAACAGGCTGATCTAGAAGCCAGCTGTGCCCTTCCGGTTTCCTCATGCTCTTAATCAGGCTCTGCAGAATTCTGTGTTTATTTTTTTCTAATTTGGACAGCTGTTATTGAGCAGCCTGGACTGCAGCTGTTATCTTCTTAAGCATTTCCCCCAAATTTGATCTATTTAAATTCTCACAGGAAGTTCTGGGGAATCAGGCAATAATTATCCCAGAGACGCTGAGATTCCCAGAAGTTCAAGCGTTAAAAACATTAAACACAAATCGGGTCTAAATCTCTCGTTCGCCGGCAGCCTGGCTGTACGTTATTAGCCACTGGAAATATTTCGGGGTCCATCACTGTGTGAGCAGTGAAATCAGCATTTACCAATACAAATCTAAGCCTTCCCAGCTGACTGTTAATGTGTGAAGAGCCCCTTTCCCCTCCCGTCCCACTGCCTCCTCCCCCTGCATGTCTGGGTCCATGACACTGAGTGGGGGGCTCAGTGGCTGTCGGTGAGGTTGCGGGGTATCTTGGTGAACCGAGCCTCACTAGAGCCACACTGAACCCAGTCCCGTGGGTCTCGTGTCCTAGGGGTTCCCAGCACCTCGCTGCTTTCAGAGCACCCGCCTTTCCTATGGGGCGTGACAGGAGACGGTGGGTTCACTGCTCCCATTCGGGCTCAGCCCCGGGGCGACAAAGCCAGGTGCGCTCTCTTGTGGCTGTGGGTGGTGTTCGCCTGGCTCACCTGTGGCAAATGGGGTTTTACACCATTTCCTACACCAGGGAAGTCGCCATTGGCCCTTTTCGATGGGACTGTCTTGGTGTTTCTGGCCTGGCCTGTCAGGAGGTGACAGGGAACCCTGTATGTCATCAGGCATGAGTAACTGTCCTTGTGTGCAGTGACAGTAGAGCGTGGTTGACAGTGGGGGGGATTTGATAAGCCAAGAGAGTGAGTTGCCTAGTGGTTAGAGCTGGAGTGTGGGAACCAGGGAGCCTGGGTTCTGTCATTAGCTCTGCTGCTATTTCACTGCGAGAGCGCAAAGTCACTTCCCCCCTCTCCCTGTGCCGGGAAAAAGGCAGGATCCAAGGAGCCACCTGGCCTGGCCAAGCCACCTGGGCTGGCGAGGAGCCGTGAGGTTTAGCTCGTAGGGAAGCCTGGCCAGGAGAGAGAGGAGAAGGAGATGGGGGCCCTTTGATTGTTGGTGCTGTGGCAGGACTGGATCAGGCCTCTCATTGTCCTAATCCCCCTCCCCCCAGCTCTGGGCCTCAGCCCCTCTGTTGGGGAGAGAGGGTTAAAACACCCCTGTCCACAGAGGGGAGGGTTAATTAGTCTGTCTGAGTTTGGGGTGTCAGGAAAACACGCCGCCCCCCTGGGGCAGATCCCCGCAGGCTGAGCCTTGGCCTCCAAATGTCCCGGCAGGAATTCCGTGCGCCTGGTGATCCGCAAAGTGCAGTACGCGCCGGAGAGACCAGGCCCCCAGCCCATGGCGGAGACCACCCGGCAGTTCCTGATGTCCGACAAGCCGCTGCACCTGGAGGCATCTCTGGACAAGGAGGTACGGCGCGCCCCGCTTCTCCCCGGGGCTGCCGAGTCGCCTGGTGGTGTGGAGCCCAGCAGCTGCCCTGCACCCTGCAGCGTGAGGAGCAGGGGACAAGCGGTGGTACTGGGGAACTATCCTGGTGCCCAAATTCACAGCTGGTGCCAACGTGTTGCGCAGCAGTGACACCATTTAACTTGGCGCTGGGCACGGCTGGGGGCTGGGAGCCTTGGGAAGTGACACCGCAAAGGGCTGGCAGAGACCCCGGCTGCTTGATCCCCACACAGCTCTCGCTGCGGGGCGGGGGGCCCTCCTGCGGGCTGTGGTTAATAAACGTTGGTGTGAAGGTGGCCTCCGAAGCATCCCCTGACCTGCACAGCCAGGGAGCCTCCTCCACCTGCCTGCTGCTGACTGGGGCCCTTGTCCCCACAGATTTACTACCACGGCGAGCCAATCAACGTCAACGTCCACGTGACGAACAACACCAACAAGACAGTGAAGAAGATTAAAATCTCAGGTGAAGGGGATGTCCGGGTTCCCCGTATCGGCCGTGCAGAAAGCCAGGAGGGGTCTGGCACAGGCAGTTGCAGCTGGGCCACCCTCTCCTTCCATTAAAACTCTCTCCCCAGCCTTCCCTGACCCCCATCCCCGACCCCCAGCAGATGCACTGACCTCCCCTCACATGCTGAATCCCCCCTTCCCACATCCCCTCCCCCATCCAGCCGCTGCTGGAGCCCTTCCTCCATTCTCTATCCCAAGTCTTCTCCCAATCCTCCCTTCTCCTGTAGCCACCTGCCTGGCCTTCAGGCTGGCTCTTTTTCTGCACCCCCAGAGATCTGCTCCCACCTGACTCCGCCGGTTCACTCAAGAAGCATCCGGCTGGCTGTCTAAGTGAAGAGTCTGGCTGGGTGCCCCTCGTGCAGCTGAATGCAGTGATGTGCCAAGGGAGCCGAGACCCCCTCTGTTCCCAGCTCTGCCACAGACTCTCTGGGTGGCCCCGGTTGAGTCCCTTCACCTTTCGGGGTTCCAGCCCCCCCCTTGGCAAAGCGGGGAGCACGGCACTTTCCTGACCTCACCTGGGGGGGGGGTGAAGGTGAACGGCTATAAAATACAGCATTTCAAGCTGGCATTTTAGAAACGTGCACCCTCCTTTCTGCCACAAAGAAGAGTATTTCTTTCTAAAAGTACTGTATCCGTCTGATGCAGCAGTCGTTATTCCTCAACAAACGACAGATTTGTCTTAAGAGCACAAGCTGCGTCAGGCCAAAGGTCCATCTAGCCCACTATCCTGTCTTCTGACAGGGGACAATGCCAGGTGCCCCTGACAGGTAACCCTCGTGTGATCCATCCCCTTTTCACAGCCTCCCCGCCACCTAGTACGCCCGCTGGGAAGTCTGTGTTAGGAAGTCTGCTGTGAAAAGCGATATTAACAAACATATCACTTTTTACAGCCTCTCAGCTAGCCAGTAAGTCTGCTGTGAAAAGTGATACTTGCATGGGGGCACTAAGTCTGCTGTGGAAAGTGGCACTGGCAAAGTTTCTTCGCCCCTCCCCCCACCATTTTAAACGGTTGCTATCTAAAAATAACGTTTCTGCTTATCACAACAATTTGATAAGAATGTGTTTGTAGTCTTAACTAGGGGGCTGTGCCCCCTGCTTGCTGTGCTTTCCAACCCCTCTCTTGTGAGGGATAGGTAACCTGACCGCACCACCCCAAGCCTTTTCTCCCTTCCCCACACCCAGCCAACCTGGACCCCCTTTTCCTTCCTCCCCCTATTCCTCCTGACTGCAGCACATAGCCAGCCTCCCCCGTGACTGCCTCAGGCCGCATGGCTCACAGCTCCCCCAAGCATAGGGGAGGGCAGAGGGCGGAGCTGTGGGACACCAGAGTGAGGCATGATGTCACTCTGTTGTCCCGGAGGAAAAGTTTTCTTTGATATAGAGTAAGGATTTAAAAGCCGTGAGAAAAGGTCAGTTCTTTTTAAAATTACAGCGCGATGAAGTTAGCACTTAAACTAATGTTAAACACATAAAAATGTGTGTTTTAAAATGGGTAAGCGGGAAAGTCTCCCTGGGAGGTTTGCTGTCTGACTGGTATCGTCAGTACAAAAACGCTGAGATCCGCTAACAAAGACAGAGCAAGAACCGGTGGTGGGAGACTGATTCTGGACACGCTCCGATTTGTCCTATATCCCTCGCTGCCCAACACAGCACAGGCTGGGCGGTGCTCCCGTGTGGCTGCACAGAAACACACCCTAACCTTGGCCTTCCCGCCCTGTCTGTCTCTCCCCGCCAGTGCGCCAGTACGCAGACATCTGCCTGTTCAACACTGCTCAGTACAAGTGCCCCGTTGCTGTGGAAGAGGCAGAGTGAGTATGTCCCCCCTCCACCTTCCTTTGGTGTGTAACTGTCACACCCTGACTAGGGACCAGGCCACATCTAGCTATGCTGGTGTTCCCTGCTGAGCCCAAGGATAACAGAGGAGCTCAGATTTTCCTTCCTCTCTCCTGCTTCCTACAAGCTCGAGGACCATTAAAGAAGTGAGCTTCAGATTATGCAGCACAGGTCTCTTCTGGCTCATGGCTCTGCCCTCTTGTGTTTGCATCAGTCAGAGCAGCCGGTTTTACTTACTTATATAAGACTTATGTGATGAGGCAAAGCCCCTCTGGAATCAGGAGGGAAAGAACTGATTGGCTAGACATACTGCCAGTCAACCAGACCGGTAGCTAGGACTTCCCTTCGGTGCAAAGGATTCTGGGTAGGAAAGCCCTCTATAAAAGCTGCAAACCTCCTCCCTGCACTCAACAAAGTTATACTGCTCTGCCTGGGTTCATGGCAGCCTTTCTTGGGATTAGCTTTTGACCACATCTCAAAACTCCGAGTGAAACACAGTCAAAATCCCTGGGCTTTACATGGCTCCAGCCATGGCTTAGCTGGCAACTTGCTCCAGATTCCCAGAGAGAGGGGTTATCGTGGGCTGTCAGGTAGTCAGGAAGCTGCAGCAAACAACATCTCTTGCGCTAGCACCCGTTTGTCCTGCTAAGGCTTGGAGGGGCATGTTCAGGGCCCCTCTGGTAGTTCTTGCTGTGTTACACGGAGGGAACCACTTTCCAGATCCATGATGGGAATCACCAGACACTCACAGGGTCCCTAGAGGGCTGACCCATCAGGTTTGTGTTTGCCATGGCATCGTGCTTCAGACATTTTCCTTCCCTGAAAGATGGGAGCCTGGGGACCCAATGGGGAGGTGCGGGAGTTGGTTCGGTCCCATACATGATGTCAGTTTCCTTCACCCACATTATTTCCCTCAGTGATATGGTGGCTCCGAGTTCAACGTTCTGCAAAGTCTACACATTGACCCCCTTTCTCGCCAACAACCGGGAGAAGCGTGGCCTGGCCCTGGATGGGAAACTTAAGCACGAAGACACCAATCTGGCGTCCAGCACATTGTGAGAGCTCCTTCCTCCCTGCCCTACATGTCTGAGTGGTTTGTTTCTCCCAGTGGGCCACCTAGAGAATGACTGGCATGAAGAATCTCTATGCTGTTAAGCAACAATGGAGTCCCCTGTAGAGTGCTTGGCACGGGCTTAACTCTTAGCACATGAGTAGCCCGATGGTCGTCAATTCCAGTTGGCTTCATCGGGACAGCCCCTGGGCTTACACACATCAGGTTTGAAACCTCTGAGTTGGTGTAACCCACACACCTAGGGGTTACACCAATGCTGCAGAGTTTTTCCGGAAAAACGGCTATTTTTCCAGAAAAACAATACTAACGTCCACACTTCTATTGCGTTTTTTCAACAGAAAATCGAAAGCACAGAGGGTTTTTTTCTGATGGCAGTAAACCTCATCCTATGAGGAAGAAGCCTTTTTCTGAATATTTTTTTGGAAAAAGGCATGTGTAGATGCAGAAGAGAGTGTTTTTTCGAAAGAAGAGGCTTCCAGGAAAAAGCACAGGTGGCCGTCCACAGTAATCACAACTTAATTGCTAGATAGTGTCCAATAAATGTGGACGCTCTCTTTCAAAAAAGCACATCACTTTTTCCTTGTGCTTTTGCTGTGTAGACTCTCTCCTCCGGAAAAGCTTTTTCTGAAATAAGCCTGCAGTCTAGACGTAGCCCTACTGTAGTTCACTGTCCCAAGCTGCGGCACCTAGACCACAGCAACAGATAAGAACAAGAGACCTCTACAGCATGGGCTGAGAGCCCGCTGACTTTTTAGCTCAGGCTGTAGAGGCTCCTATACTAAGCGCCAGATGTCCCGAGTTCAACTCTACCTGGTGGTGGTTACAGTGGCACCAGGATCAGATGCCATAGAAATGAGACGTGAGTCCTATAAAATGCACTGTAGGGGGCAGTACTGTATACCTGTCTTTCAAAGGATGGCCTGGGGGACTTAATCGCAGATCTTTGTAACTTCTGGAATACAGGCAGTCCCCGGGTTACATGGATCTGACTTACATCAGATCCCTACTTACAAACAGGGTGAGGCAACCCCACACTAGCTGCTTCCCCCCAGCAGATCAGGGAGACGCGAAGCTAGTTCCCCCCCCCCACCCCCAGCAGACCTGGGAGACGCGGAGCGGCTTTTCTCAGCAGACACCTCAGCTTGAGAATAAAGGACTGAGGAAAGTGAGGTGTGGGAGAATAAAACTGAGCTCTGGAGAAATGTTTGGCTAGAGTTTCCCTTACAATATGTACCAGTTCCAACTTACATACAAATTCAACTTAAGAACAAACCTACAGTCCCTATCCTGTACGTAACCCGGGGACTGCCTGTACTACGAAGATGATGGCCAAAACTTTCATACCTGGCTGCTTAAAGACAGACCCTAAAAATGCCAGGCTAGGTGCCCACCTGGATATAGGAGCCGGCACACCCAGGTTTGAAATCTTCAGCCAAAGTCCTTAGCTAGTCACTTCAGGTGGGATTCACAAAGGTATTGAAGTGCCCCCCCTTGCTTTCACTGCCCATTGGCTTTCCTAGGTATCGTTCTCTCTCCACTCATTATCAGAGGAAACCCGGGGAGATCCTCTGGGATTTTTGTAGAGATGGGCCCATTTTCACTCCAAAAAGTGTTCGGCTGATTTTCACTTCTCCGATTTTTGTGGGGTAACACCGGGGCCGCATTATGACTTTTGTGAGCCCTAGGAACTTTTGCTTTCGTGGGCCCCTCCCACCATAATAATATCCAGGGCTCAACAAATAATGCAATCTACTCGCCCGTGGCAAGTAGATTGCAACCTGGAAGAGCCGGATTTGGGCGATCTGTGCATGTGCAGAACGATCTGCACATACGCAGATCACCGGACAGCGTGGCTGGCGAGCGGGGCTTGCCGCGGTTCGGCGAGCCCTGAAATATCAATATTAAAAATTATTTTTGATAAAACTTTAAATACTTCAACATTTCTTTTTCTGTTTTAGGCAAAATTTAATAGATTTTCGTGGGCCCTAAAAGTTTCATTTTTTTCAGATGTGAGAAAAAAATTAAAACATTTTCTTTGACCCTAAAAGTTCATTTTTTTCTTCTGATTTTAAAAGAAATTAAAACATTTTTGTGGGACCCTAAAAGTATCGTGTGCCCTAGGCACTGTACCTACTGTGCCTAATGGATAAGTCGGCCCTGGGTAGCACAGGTATAATTTCTGAAACATGGGATCCCTTCCCCCTAAGTCAGTTTTCCCATTTAAATATGTGAAATTTCAAAATGTTGCCAGATTCCCTGGGGAAAGTGGCCAAAATGTGGTGAGGTTTGGGGAGCTGGCCCTGGGGCGGTGGATCTGCATTTAGGATACTTTGAGGGGAAGGGGATCTACTAGTTTCATACTGTCGTAATGGAAAGTCCCAGCATTCGTTTCCTTACAAATGCCTCATCTGTCCTTGCTTCTAGACTAAGAGATGGAGCCAATAAGGAGATCCTGGGAATTATTGTCTCGTATAAAGTGAAAGTGAAGCTGGTGGTCTCTCGGGGCGGGTGAGTATCTTCATACTTCTGGGACCAATCTCAGCCCAGAAAAATCAAACCCAACTTTCCTCTACCCCACATGAAGGCCAAGGAGACTCAGTGATGAAAATTTATCCAGTCACTTAAATCTTTAACCTCATAGACCACACCCTCCACCATATGGCCACGCCCCACAGCCATACCCTCCATCATATGGCCACGCCCCCAACATCTGAGAAAGAAACTGCATGGAGCTTTCGAACACTCACAGAGGAAGAAACCTTTGTGATGTTTCTACATGGGGAGTTTTCTGAATCTTCTTTTGTCTGGCCCTGAACTAGAATCCTGTTCACAGGGCTGAGCTAATGATTGCTTGCTATGGCCCAACAGCAGGTGCTGTTCGCATGGCCGCCCCACACGTGCTCTGCATGGTACGGTCACCGCTCCACATGGGCCCTTCATTTTGACACGCTGTAGTCTTCTGCGGCACGTGTGTTGCTCCAAACCTTGTTCTCCTGGCTGTAAGCAGCGCCTGCTAGTGTGTAGGTGAATTCTGAATGGGTGGTAGCGTTTGCTCCTAGTGACGTCAGTGAGCTTTGGAGCAAACCCTCTGTGCTTTTCCTCTGCAGATTTCAAAGCACTTTCCAAGCCCTGGTTAATTCTCCCAGCGCAACCCTGACCAGCCTGCCCAGCGCCATGCAGAGCCAGATATAGGAGCGATTCCTCGTCAACAACCCTTTTCCCTCTATTTAGTGTGTGCTCTCTGCCACTGCTGCTTGCCGGAGGCTTGACTGCAGTCAGGTGTCAATGAGGCTAGCGGCAGCTAGGAAGAGGGTCTTGGAGGCAGGTGACTTTGCTTAGGGCCGGGGCTAAGCGTTCTGCAACCTTGACAGGCAAAGCCTCAAAGCGTGCCCATGCTGGGACAGGAGACGTAGTTTTGCCAGCAGGCTGCCATGTCTCAGCACTGCGAGGCATGGGTGGGCCGTTCAGTTCACATGCAGGGGGAATGCCTTTGCCCACATGTCAGTGGCCCAGGTAGCGGGGACCTGGGAGGGGGTGAGGATTGTGTCAGTGGAAGAGGGTGTGGAGCAGGCTCTGTAAGGGCAGGCTGGAGGCTCAGGGCAGGCCTGCTATGTTGTGGTGCAAAATTTGAGGTATTCTGGGACTTGTAGTTCCCAGGGAGCATTAGGCCAGTAGGCTAAGAGCAAGGCCTGCTGGGAAAGGGGGCGGGATCATGAGGACCCTCTCGCTCCTCAATGTGGGACGTAGGCAAGACTTGCAGTGGGGTGCCCAGCTGAGGGGGATGCCCAACTGATGCTTGACAACAGCCGGCTCCTGGTCTCTCAGCCGAGCTCACGCATCCACCCTGCACCGTGCTTCTGACTCGGGTCTGTGGCTTGGGCTGCATCCACCCTGCAAAACGACAGGCCCCGTGTCAACGGAACTCGGGCTCTGCCCCACCCCAGCAGGGTCCCGGGCACCCGGTGCTGAGGGCGGGCTGACGAGAGTCAGACGGCTGTGTGTGGATGGAGGGAGGGCTCGGGCTCAGAGCCGGGTTGTAGCCCACAGAGCGAGCGTAGCCTTTTATTTTTCCCAGCAGTGACTCAAGGAACCCCCAGCCCCGTGTCCTGTGAGACATCGGGCTTCACAAAGTTAGCATGAGTAAGCAGGCCTGTGAGCCTGAGCACAGACACAATGGCCCAGCTGTGTGTCACCGCCTGTCTCTGTGACAGGCGGAGTGCTCAGATCTCAGTCCTATCCATCATCTCTCTCCCAAATCCATCTCTTCCCCCTGTGGGGAGGGACCCGACTGTGGGGAAGACCTAGGTTGGATATTAGGAAAAACTATTTCCCTAGGAGGGGGGTGAAGCCCTGGGATGGGTTCCCTAGGGAGGGAATCTCCATCCCGAGAGGTTTTTACATCCCGGCTTGATAAAGCCCTGGCTGGGATGATTGGGTTTGAGCAGAGAGTTGGACTCGAAGCCCTCCTGAGGTCTCATCCAACCCTCATCTTCCAGGATCCTATGGCTGGGAGGGGCCTGGCCAGGTTAGATCCTGGGGCGATGGCCCTTTCCTAGGTAGGGACGTGAGGTGTCTCTAGTTGCAGTGTGGAGGCCTCACTTACTTGTACAACCTTCCCCTGACCTTATCTGCTGGCCTCCTGGCAAGCCAGAGGTCCAGAGCCCCTCATGAGCAAGCAGGACTGAGGGACTTGGTCCTGCCGCAGTGCCGGGGTGTAGTCTCGGTGACCTCTTGAGGTCCTTTCCAATCCTACCTGCCTATGATTCTACCGGCTGCCTGGTGGGGAAGGTCCCATCTCTAGTCCCCACTTCTCCGGTCCCTGTGCAGGCCCTGGAAGACCCCATACACTGCTGTCGGTTCCCATAGGTACCGCAGGAAGTGGCCCAAAGGGCTTGTGAGGCGTGGCGTAGAGAGAAGTGATGTAATGTGGGATCCTGGCAGTGCCTGGGCTAGACACACATGTTCACATGTAGCTTAGGGCGATGGAACCAAGCCAGGGGCTGTAGAGCTGGGGGTTGGTCCTGGGTCTTGTTCCTGCCTTCAGACCTGTTGGCTGCCTGTGCTTTTTATTTTATTTTATTTTTTAAACCTCTGGTGACTAATTCTCTTGTCTCCTTTGAACTATGCCAGCCTGCTGGGAGATCTTGCATCCAGGTAACGTTTCCCAGCTCTGCCCACCATGGCTGTGCCGCGTGGGTGCCTGCAGCCTGGCTTTTTCATTCATGATATTTCAGATCCCTCCATTCTTCTCCTCATCCCAGACATCCTTCGCTTTGCCCACTTCCTCGTCTCTCGTTTCTCTTCTGTGCCTGCTCCACCCAATGCCCTGAATATCTTCCCAGACAACCTCTGCAGATAAACCATCCACTCCGTTCCTTGTTTACTACCTTTATCAATCCCCAGGCTGAGAGGCCCTGCTCTCTGTTGGGTCACCACACACAAGCCCTCCAGCTTCTCTGGTTTCAAAGATAACCTCAGAAATGTGAACCAAACATAACTAATGCAGAGCCACTGAGGTTGGAGGCACCTGGTGCAACGGCTCTGACTGTCCCATTCATCTCAGGGAGAGGTTAACTCCAAAGTCCACACTCCCGTAAGAGCCGAATGGGCACGGTTCCTCATGAGGGACGTCTTGTGTTGGTGCCACACATGGATGGTGTTTGGGAGCTGCGACCCCAAACCATCCTCCATTTTCCTTACGTAGAAGGAACCTAACAAAGCCAAGAGCCATGCTCCAGCCTTAGCGTAGTGGAGCCAGGTGGCAAAGGTACAATGAACAGTGTCTCATTCTGGCAACTCATGGGTGGGGCTTATTTTGTGGGCGGAGCTTGGAAGAGTCCCCCTGCTTTTTTTCTCTCAATGCAGCCCCTGCAGAGGGGATAACAGACTGTTGCAGTTTAGGCCATGCTGCGCACCATGGCTTAGTGGTAGATATCTGTGGGCCAGATCATGCCTGCTACCCAGCTGACCATGGTCCCTGCAGCCTTAGGACTTCTGGTGAGCAGAACAGCCAGGCCCCTCCCTCTCCTGGTGCATACTTGAGGGTTAAGTAGTAATCTTGCCTAGCCAGCTACGGGGAGCACGTCCTGGGTGTGACTGCGCGGCTCCAAGCTGCTACACAAATGCTGCGAGAGATGATAGAAAGCCATGATGGGCTCCCCTGGAGATAAATGGGCAGTCCCATCTGCCACGTACTGCCCACAACCCAGCGGTGGCCTGTTTGCAGCATGTTGGAGGTTGCGGATGGGCTGGTGGGGGAGGGAGGTTCCTTCAGCTGCCCAGTTCAGTGGTCCTCCAGTTCTTTCATACTTGTGAACTAGTATGTAATTAAGGCCCTGCTATGGGCTCTCCCACCAGTTGCCCCTCACTACTGCTGTAGCCTCTGTGATCAGCAGGGACTCTGCACCTACCTGTCCTCATGGCAGAACTCTCAGTGCCTGACTTTGTGCAGCAGAAGGCTGTAGGCCAGGGGTGGCCAACCCATTGAACAAAGAGAGCCGAAACAGCGGCGGGAAAAATGCCAAGAGCTGCACCAGAGTTGTTGAGCAAAAAAAAGGAAGAGGTTCCTACCAGCCAGAGTTGTTGAGGGGAAACACCACAGGTTAGGCTTTTTGGCCACATCAGGTTCCCGCCGGCTGACACCATCTTGCTGACACTGGACAGCTCCCCTCCAACCAGTGAGCACAGAGAGCCAGGGGCCATTTTTAGGGGCGCATGGGGTAGCTTTGCAAGCCACGGGGGAGGCTTCGTGAGCTGCACTTTCAGGGGTGAAGAGCCGCATGCGGCTTGTGAGCCGCAGGTTGGCCACCTCTGCTGTAGGCTGTGGAACTCCTTGCCACTGGAATTCCGGATGATCTCAAGTCTTGCCAGACCCATTTCCTTACCCAAGCTTTTCCTCCATTAACTGAGCAACAAAATGGACGTTCTCCTGGAAGAACCAGCTCAGGGATCCTGCTCAGGTGGCTTTGAGGAAGGGGCAGGCAGTTTTGGCTCCTGTTGTGCAGAATTAGATGTGTCCTCTCCCAAGTATTTTCACATTTTGTGCGCCACAACCTGAGCCCAGAATACTATTTCCCCATTGCACGACCCTTACTTTTCCATAAAGATTGGCAGGAAAAGTTGTTCACAGGAATGTTTGCGGAAAGCAAGTCTCAAGAAAACATATTCTTGATTTCCTGGCCATTTATAAAATATTTTTCTCTTCTCTAATTGGCTGAGTAATGGCATCATGTGGTTTAGGTGAGCAATCACACAACACAGGTAGGCAGAGGTGATCGAAACAAACCTCCCTTTGGCCGAAACAGGTTTGCATGAAATGCTTGTCCCTGACTTCATACAGGTCTATTGTGCATCATCTGTGAGCAGGGCTGACTTTATCAAATACATTGTCCTCTACCGACAGGCCACCAAGAAGGAATTGCTGCTTCTGCAGTTCTTTCTGTAGAATCCGACTCAGCAATGTAGCTAACCACAAGGCTGTTTCGAGTCCAGGGAAGGGAAGCGAAAGGGAAGGAGGGAGGAGCCAACTGGAACTGATGTTCTGCCAACTCAGTGGTTCGGAGACACCAATAATGGAAACCAATATTTATGTGAGAATAAATGAATGCTGGTGAGACAGCAGAGCTGGAATTACCTTTCATCCTGTGCCATGTCTTTACATTCTTCTCTACTGAAGACTAGGAAGAGATTTTCAGGAGGGTTATTTAATTTGCAACTAATTAGAGTCCATTTTGCAAATGTCCCCAACATCAAAGGGATAAACTGCAGATCTTGTTAGTGGGGAGCAGAGCAAGACGTTTTGTGCAACCTATTGCATCTTTTTCCTCTCTCCTCCTTTCCTGTCATTGGCTGTCAATCACCAGCAAGTCTGTTGCATTGCACTGTGCATGCCCTGACTTGTGTTCCCGCGTGGTGAGGAATCGGCTTTAATGAGGAGGAGCCACGTTCCCTCTATTTTTCCAATTTGTGTGTGGAATAATTTTGTTATGTGCACCAAGGCATGTGTGGATGTGCACCACCAATAGAAACACAAACCTAGCTGGGGGTGCTCTGCCAGTCGGCTGGGTGGCAGTTGAATCTCTCCTGGGTGGCTGCCGAAGCACTCAGCTTACAGGGAACACTGATGAGAAGAGCCAACAGGTGCTAATTGTGGGGACCATGCAGGGGCCCGACTGAGCCTTTCCACTCAGCAAAGTGTCTGTCATGTGGCTCAAGGGCTTTATCACTGACATGCTACGTAGGGCAGTGAGAGGAGCATTGTGCCATTACAGCATTTCTGGGCACACCATTTAAACAGGAGAGAGAAATCACAGCGAAAGCCGTCGCTTCTCTGCTGGGTAAGCTGCAAAGCCATATGCTCCCAGGAGGAGCGCAGGTGACTGCCCTGGACTGTCCTGTCACCCCGGGGAAACGTGTGGCTGTGGATTTTTGTAGAACGGCCACGCTGGGTCAGACCAAAGGTCTATCTTGCCCAGTATCCTGTCTGCCAACAGTGGCCAAAGCCAGATGCCCCAGAGAGAGCGAACTGCACAGGGAATCATCAAGTGATCCCTCCCCTGTCATCCACTCCCCGCCTCTGGCAAACAGAGCTAGGGACACCATTCCTACCTATGCTGGCTAGTAGCCATTGATGAACCTAACCTTCATATGGGACCCGTTCCAAGCCCCTAATCATTTTTGTTGCCCTTTTCTGAACTTTTTCCAAGGCTAAATATCTTTTTTTTTTAAGATGAGGTGACCACCTCATCAGCTCATGTCACTTTCCCACCTCACACAGTGGCACGTGATCGCTGAGCACGTTTCAGTACATGGCTTAGTGCTGCTTGGAGTGTAAATGCTGCCACAGGAGGCATGCTCAAAAGACCAGCTGCAGCGTACACGTTTAAACACACGAGGGATGCTTTTCTGAGCTGCAGGGTTTGCATGGTCTCCCCTCCGCAGACACTCCCCATCCCACTGTTGAAACCACCCTTCGTGTGTTATTTTGTGGCGGGGAGAGGATATAGTAGCTCGGATTGGTAGCAGGGAGAACACCCGGTGTCTTGTGGCTGCCAGGTCAGATCCAGCCTTGTTCAAGAGTTTTCACCACTTGGAAGCTGCACGATGGCCAGGGAGAGACAGCTGCAGAGCTCTGTCCATGCCATCTGTCAAGGCTGATTCCCCACTCTGGCATGATAAATGCAGAAGTGGGGCTCCGCACAAGTACCCCAAAACCTTAACTCTCCAGGCGTTGGTATAAAACTTCCCTTCAAAATCCTAAAAACCTGGGTTTTGGGGACAAAATAATCTGCTGCCACCATCAAGTGCTTTTGAACCCACAAAGAGGGGTGGACGCTTGAAACCAACCCCAGGGCACCCCACTCTCTTTTCTCCACAGAGCTTGAAAAAGAGAGAGAAAATACAAACTGCAGTCTGTGGTTGCTATCCCTTAGCCAGAGGCATGCAGATCCCACAGACAGATTTTCCAGGACACAGAATTGAACCAATACCAGGTTAATAAAAAAGAAAGAACTTCTATAATCAAAACAGTACTCCTCTCTCAAGCATGATGACTAGATGGAAAAGTCACCGATTAATAGACTCATGGGGGCTCTTAGGGTGTGTCTAGACTACATCCGTTTTTCGAGACAAGGGAGTTGACTGGTGATCTGAGTCCAGGGGTGGGGCCTTTACAACCGACATGGCCCCAGAGCCTGCTAGAGGAAGGGTAGAGAGAAGACCAGGGTTGGCAGGTGGCTGGTTTTCGACAGCAAAGCCAGGCCAAAAAGGGACACGGGAGGCTCTGGGCCTTTAAAAGTCCAGTCAGCGATGCAGCAGGGCTCCCTGCTTCCATGCAGCTCCCGGAAGCAGCCAGCAGCCCATAGGCGGAGGTGCAACCAGGGTCGCTCTGCATGCTGCTCCCTCCCCCCTGCCGGCTCTGTAGCTCCCATTGGCTGGGAACCAAGGCCAGCTGGAGCTGTGTGGGCGGTGCCTGCAGGTGCAGGCAGTGTGCACCGTGCAGAGCCCTCCGGCCCCTCTGCCTAGGAGCGTGGACATGCCTAGCCCTGCTGCACCACCAGCTGGGTGCTGCCTGAGATAAATGCTGCTCAGTCGGAGCCTGCACCCGCCCCACCACGGGGGCTGCACCCCCAGCTGGATCCCATACCCACTAACCTTGTCCCAAACTCCATCCCAGCTGTGAGCCCCCTCCTGCCCCCCAAACCTCTCATCCCTGGCTCGACCCCAGAGCCTCCCCCCGCAGAGGATCCCATAACCCCTCCCTCATCCCAACGCTCATCCCAGCTGTGCGTGCCCCCTTGCACCTCAAACTACTCATCTCCGGCCCCATTGTAGAGCCTGCACCCCCAGCTGGAACCCTCACCCCTCCCATCCCCCAACCCTTGCCCCAGCCCAGTGAAAGCGAGTGAGGGGGGAGAGAGAGCGAGTGAGTGAGGGATGAGGGGATGGGGCCTTGGTGGAAGGGCGGGACAGAGGGTAGGGCCAAGGTGTTCATCTTTATGCAGTTAGGAAGTTGACAACCCCAGGGGAGACTCTGTGATTTGACGGGTGTAATCTGTTCTCACGAACTCCAACGTTGCCCCCTGAGAGACCGTTGACGTCTGTGTCCTCACGTTAGCCTGGGGCTTCGCATCCATTGGCATGGGGCTACCACAGCCATCGGTGCTGCACTGTCTGCAGCCCAGCCCCTCCTGACTTACACGGGTGTGAGAGGTGACGCCAACGGCGACTATCGATCAAGGCTCAGAGCCCAGGAGCGACACCGATGTCGGAATCTGGCCGGGGCGCTTCGTTGGCAATTGGAAAAACGCTCCCACTTGCCAGATCTGCTCCGAAAACAACACATGGTCCTGTGGCACGGTAGAAGCTAACAAAAACGTATCTAGTGTCATGAGCTTTCGTGGGCACAACCCACTTCCTCGGATGAGCTTGAGGAAAGAAAAAAAATCCGCTGTAACTGCCAAAATTCCCCAAACTGCCAGCAGGTGGCACTAGAGAGCTGCTCTCAAAGCGGGTTCTAGTCCCCAGTGCCATGTAGACGCAGGACCACGCTAGGTGTCAACCCACAGCAGGCATTGAGGCCAGAGCATGCACCATGGACATCAGTGGCAGAATTTCGAGGGGAGGGTGGGAATCAGCCCCTTCCTAAGGCAGGACAGAGGATTTAATTAAAATGGACGCAGCTGGCAAGCCCCCACTGGCCCGGTCTCCCTAAGACGTCACTTCTCATCCGTGTCTTTGGGTCTGTTTCAGTGATGTGGCTGTGGAGCTGCCTTTCACCCTTATGCATCCCAAGCCCAAGGAGGAGCCCTTGCACAGGGATGGTGAGTTGAACCCTTTTCTAGCCACTCTTGGCTTCAGGACTTGCTCTGCTGCGGAGGAGGGGGCGCTCACTGGGTGGGTTTGGGAGCGACACAACTGGCCTGTGCCAGACCTGAGGTTTCAGACCACGTCTCGTGTTCGAAAAGGAGTCTGTGTAGATGTAACCACCACCAGGTAGATTTGAACCTGGGACCTCTGAAGCAGAGTATAGGAGCCTCTACCCTCTGAGCTAAAAGCCAACTGCCTCCCAACCCCTGCTGTAGGGGTCTCTTGGTCTTTAACTGTTGCTGTGGTCTAGGGTGTAGATGCTCCTTCTGCTGCAAGAGCCTCTTCCGCAAAAATGGTGGCTCATTAGGTATGCAAATGAGGCTCGGCAATATTCCACGCTTAGCTTCATTTGCATATTTCTGGCACAAGAACCAGCCAGTGTAGACATAGCCTAGGTGTGTGGGTTACCTAAACACTAGCAAGCAGCAGCTAGTAGCAGCCGAAAGTCACATTGTATACAGCCTCCTGCTGAGCCTGTAATCGCCTACAGACCAGTCTACGTGTGCAGTGACACCGTTTCCATATGCAAATACCCCTTTGCATGTGCAAATGGTGCAGTCGCCATGGTCTAAGCCCTCCATCCTTCCAAGGCGATAAATTGAACTCCATGTGGATCGCCATAGAAGAGATGGGGAAAAGGTCCATGTGGATGGGAAAGGTCATGGTCTATCTGGGTATGTCTACACTACCACCCTAGTTCGAACTAGAGTGGTAGTGTAGACATACCCTCTATGAGTAAGGGAGTTGATTCCAGTGTTACGGCTACAATTTCCTTTCCCCAGAGGTGCCATAGAATCGTAGGAGTGGAAGGGACTTTGAGAGGTCAGCAAGCTCAGAGACCTGCACTCATGGCAGGACTAAGGGCTATCCCACGCCACGTATGGGTTGATTGTCGCTCTGCACCCCAGAGATGGTTGCATTGCAGTCCTGGTCCTTGGACATTTGAGGCCAAATCCCATTCCCATTGACTTCCAAAGGAGTTTTATCCAGGCAGGATTGTGCCCAGTGCCTATGGTTCTGTGTGATGAAAGAAGCTGTGTAGTGGTTATTTATTAATTTATTATTTATTTTTCAATATCTAACCATGCGCAATAATTCCTTGTGTTTAGTTCCAGAGAACGAAGCTCCCATAGATACAAATCTCATAGAGCTTGATACGAAGTAAGCTAAAATCATCCCCGGGCCTATATGGGCATGCTGAATCATTTGCATATTAACTCAGTCAGTGATCAACTCATTTGCATGTAACTCAATAACCAGCTAACTCATCTAGACCTTATTTGGTCAGCATCATTTCCATGTAACAGTCAACGAGTAACTCATGTGCATGGACTCTTTAATGCATGGGGTGTATGTGTCTTTTCTTTCTTTTTCGCATGGTACCCATCATCTTGCATGTGTTTTGCAACAGGAAACGCACAGTAAGAATCCACCTTCTCTGTCTCTGAGTTGTATTTTGCTGTGCTGCATCCATGTTGTTGTATAATCCCAGCTGGCCTTGGGCCTCACACAGTGGAATCCAGTTTTAGTGCGTGTCGTTTGTGGGTGACGTTAAGTGCTATGGATCAAAGCATAGGCCACCCTAGGGTGTTTAAAGCTCAATCCATATTTAGCCACCTAATTTGCTGGGTGGCCTGATTTTTTCAGAGGGGCGGAGCATTGACTTCATTGAGTCCAACGTAGCTGTTGCAAACAATCCAGGGGCAACTCACATGCTAACGGCCACATTGTCAGAAGTGGCTGCTGATTTTGAGTGCCTTAAATTTTGGGGTAAACTGACATGACACCATCAAGCCCTGGGCTCCTCAGAGTGGCGCATGCAGCTCGTGTTGCTTTCTGTGGGAGCCATCGCGACATGATGCTGCTGAAAACCAGGCCCCATGGTAATAGAAACTGGGGTCCCCTCAAATCAGGGGCAGATTGAGATTTTGTGCCCAAGACCTCTGAAAACCAGGCTGCTAATTAAAGAGCTGAAATATGACTGCTGGGACTTTCCAGAACTCCTAAGACTTAGAGGCTTTTGCAAATCTTACCCATGGATGCCTACGGGTGGGTGCATGGTTCCTGAGGCCAGGTCTACATTAGCCCCAGCAGCTTGGCTTAAGGTAATCAACTCTCACTACATAAAATATGTAGCTGGAATGGGCTTCTCTTAAGCCCAGGTTGGCAGCATCCCCACAGCAGAAGTACCAGACGCTGTCAAGGGCACCCTCTGAGTTTGATTTAGTGAGTCTTGACTAGACTCACTAAATCGAATTCCGGAAGATCGATCACGGCAGCAGGCGATCTTCCTTTTAGTGTAGACAAGGCCTGAGTTTCAGCCAGATTTCCAAACTTCACAGCCCCTGGATCCTGACACATCTGGCCTGTAAATAGAAGTAGGGATTTGGGCTGACAGGAGCAAAGCGGAAATGGTTTTCTCTGATGTTCCCGAAGTTGAGAATGGCTCTCGTGTCTTTCTGGGGACTGCAACAAATACACTGAATGCTAGAGAGGGTAATGGAGCACATAATCATCTGGCTGCCCTGCCTGTTGGAAACCCCCAGCGGCCATCTGGCTTCTCCGTACACTCTGATCCAGAGAGCTCGCTCTCACGGGGCCTGACGCTGTGAACAGGAGACACCCATGTCACTCCCTTAACAGAATTCCACTGTGTGACCCACCCTTGAATGTGAACCTCGTCCTTTGTGAAAATGTGTTTAATTTGGGAGTTAGATCAAAGCTGTTTCCCAGCTGAATCGGGAGCTGGTCAATTCTCCATGCGGCATGGAAATTCCGGGCTTTCCTCCTCAAACTCTGCCTGGTACCTGTCTCCTGGAAGCTTTCTAGTTCTTTCCACCTTCTCTGCTCCTTACTGCATATTCCACGTCCCCTCCACCCGATCTGGCAAATTGATAGCTTGGAAGCCAAATCACCTGTATTGAGGATCCCAAGTCTGCATCACTCTGTAAAGATTTGCTTGCTCCATCCCTGCTCCAGTACCTGGAACCCCCTGACCACTGCTGGAATTTTTGGGCCGGTTCCAACAGTAAGAATGTGAGTTGGCAGTTCACCAGCAAACCTTTATTCCCCAAAGGCTTCAGCGGGGCAGCTGAGTTAGTCTGTAACTGGAAAAACTTAATGAACAACAAATAGTTTGGCAGCACCTTAGAGACTAACAAAACCCACTTGGGCTTTGTACCAAAGGAAGTACACGCTCTGTGCGGTATCAGTGTCACTACAGACCCTACTCTGTAATGATTCGCTAAGACTAAGCAATGGCCTGTTATGTCCGGTAGGGCTGGCAGGAGGATCCACCACCCAGGTATCCGTGATCTTGGGTGTCCAACTGGCCTGCTGAGCTAAAGTGTGATGCTCAAATTCCCTTTTTCGATTCTGTCCCCATTAAGGATGTAAAGGACTAGTTGAGTCGACTAGTCACTTACCTTCCCCCGCCCCCGCTGCCTCTATCTGATAGAGGCAGCAAAGAAGGGGGAAAAGGGTGTATTTAAAGGGGCAGCCCTGCACAGCCTGAGCTCAGCGATGTGGGGCTGCCCCTTTAAAATGCAGCGGTGGCGTTCAAAGGTCAGTGCCGCACAGCTGGTCCCCAGGCAGCGTTTCAAAGTGGCGCTGTAAGGACTCCTCAGCTGATTCTGGGCTCCACGGCATTTCCATGGAATCCATCTGATCAGCTGACCCTGGGTTCTGGGGAAATGCTGTGGGGATTCCGGGATCAGCTGGGGAGTCCCCAGCTGACCCCGGCTCTGTGTGGTATTTCAGATTGGAAGGCCCCAGGTTCCATGCTGCGATGCGGCTTTGAAATGCACAAGCGCCCCCGCTGGGGACTCTTGTACATTTCAGAGTAGGCACCCGTGTACAGCCTGGAGTCAGTTGGACGTCCTACTAGCCCCAGGCTGCAGGTGGAGTGCCACATCCCAGTGGGGGCTCTTGTACATTTTAAAGGAGGAATGCGGACGTGCCTATTGACTAGTCAAGTAGTCGATGGAAATTCCACTGACTACTCGACTAGTCAATTAACTGCAGTTTAACATCCTTAATCCCCATGTGCCAGCTGCACTGTTTGTGTGTCAGTGAGAGATCCGCCTGGCTCAGATATACCTTCTCCGCAGCCCTTCCTGTGAGAACAGATTCAGCAAGTTCAGTTGATGTCTGTATTTTAACCCCCAAACAACCCCCTTTAAACAGCCTCAATCTGCCTAACAACAGGCTAGTGCAAGATCTGCCTAGCAGCCCATCCCGTATTATTGTAGAGCCACCTTGCATCGCCCATAGGCCTTCTCCCGGTGCCCGCTGCACACGGCACGCAGCTCCTGATGAACAGATCCCCTGGTTCTTCTTCAGCCTTCGGGTGTGAAGGTGAAAAAAGCCCAGAGAATTAACTGGGGGTAGGAGGTGATCTGTGAGCAGAGATCAAAACCCTGGACCCAAACAGCTCCCAGCTGTGGGAGTTACTGAAAACTGAAACGCTGCGGGGGTTGGACCAGGGCTATTTGGCTGAGACCAGCATCTCCTCTTGGTGTGCTTAAGGGAACTCCCCCACTAAAGTCCCCGCGGCCTCGTTGGGAGACTCAAGCGGTGTCCTTTGCATGTGGCTTTGATTTCAACTTGCTCGCACGTCCTGAGCCCGATAAGAGCGTGTGGGGTTGGTGCCTTGCTGAGCCTGTCTTGAACGGGGACCCCCCACTGAGGTTCCGGACATTTTAGTAGGCTCCTGGCAAACCTTTGGGTCCTGTCATTGACATCTGACCTCCTCCGCCCCCTCCCCCGGAACGTCACTACTGAATAGATGTTTCGTTAGCCCAAGGGTAGGCTCCCTGTGCCCTAAATTCAGCTGCTCCCCTCCCAGAATCCTTCCCCTGCTCTCTGCTCCCTCTGGCACTGATTTCTCAGTGGTTGCTTTGCTCCCTGCTGCTTTCGGCCCCTTCCCAACCCAGAGACAGTGCGACCCGTCCAAACCCACCTGCCCTCTCTGTGCAGCAAGGTCCCTGCCCGGGCAGCAAGGGGCGCTGCTGGCTCCGCCTTCCTTCCCCCTCGTTCCCGTGTAACCGTTTCCCCGTGTCTCCTGCCAGTGATGACGACATTGTGTTTGAAGACTTCGCCCGGCAGAGACTGAAGGGCATGAAAGACGACAAGGAGGAGGACGACGAGGGGACAAACTCGCCGCAGCTGAATGACAGATAGACGGGATTCTGTGAACCACATTTTGTTTGTTTCCAGTAACACCTCTGCATTAGGCTTCTTACCTATTTTGTATGATTTTTTTTTCTACATGTACCGGGAGCCTATGGATCACCCAGATCGTGGCGGCAATTATAACCCCCCCAGCTGTGCCATGTTTATCACCATGCATCAAGTTACCTAGGCTGAGATCGCGGCTGCTGTCTCTGAGAATGAGCACAGGGTGGCGGGCCTGATCCTGGGGG